CAGTAAAATTAATGGTGTTATCCCAATGAAGAAAACAGGGTCTTGAGTTAACATTTGCAGGAGGAACAACAGATATGTGCTTCAGAAATCATATATGTATATAATCAAGACGTAAAATTATTAAAGGCAATAATAATTAGAGAGACGAAGTGCTGTGATGACTCGTCATTAACAAAGGAACAAATCCGTTCAAATAACCGAGGGAGACATAACCAACAAACTTCATGGACATATTATTAAACGGTTGAACTAAGAAATTCGTAATGGCCTATGCTTAATTTTAGCAAATCTCCTTTAATGATGAAGGCTTGTCTGGTAACATCCCATCATGACAGCAACATGAATATTAGGGTTGTGTTCTGCACAAATGCAGAGTAAATCGAAAAATGTTTAAATTCCTTAAAGCTTCATCCACTTCATCACATAATATATCGGCTAAGGAGTCGCATATAGCTCTAAATATTGATGTAAATATTATATGTAAATGTTGTATACAACCTATGTATAGCTTACACATAATATGTGGACAAGCTTATACAAAGCGTGTGAAAAAAATATAGTAGAGAATGTGCACAAGTTTGTACACAGTGTGTGCACAATATTAAATATTGAAACTATTGTTCGGTTTCTTGAACTCCATAAAATTTATGTATTTCCTGTATGCCAATTAATATTCAAACATAATTAAGCTAGACACTTATGTATGCAGCTTAACAAAAGCTATGATGCATTTTCCTTCTGGAAGTTCTACGGTATACAAGTTCACACATCGAACAATTTCTACATATTGAGCAATTTCTACGGTATACATATAGCTCTAAATGTTTATAGTTACATAATATCCACAAAAATAGTTTGTCATTCATACTAAGGCTTTGTTTGGAACGGCTTTCTTACTGCTTCTTAAAGCCACTTTCTCATACAAAAATTTTATTTTTTGTACTAGAAAGCGGCTTTAAGAAGCAATAAGAAAGCCGTCCCAAACGAAGCCTAAATCCTAAAAAGCTAAAGAGGATGAAGAGCGATTATCGACAGTTCCTTCATGAAGATAAAGAGCGTCGTGAGAGTCTGGATTCTGCACGTAGAAATCTCTGGTGAACAAGACGAGAGCTCCGGCTCCGAATCCCTAAATTTTTTGGGTCTTCCGTGAGTTTTCAAAAGTGAACGAACGCATCAGCTTCATTTTTTTCAAATCTATAACCTCCCGACCAAGTTGAGTCATCTAGCTACAAGAAAAATATTATTAATTGAATTAACTGGGCCGGTTCTTTAGATCACACTTTAATAACAAAATCATATGACTATGACTACATACAAAAAAATAAAATAAAATAACATGTCAATACCCGATTGGAGTCCGGATAAGAAGCTACATTCAGACTAATCACAAAATAATTTCTCTCAGTTGAAATGTCTTTCTAGTAAATTTTGTACTTGTTGCGTCCTGGAATATTCGCGGCGGTAGAGAAATATATAGTTGAAATGTCTTTCTAGTAAATTTTGTACTAAAAGGCTACTTTAGAAAACAGCAAGAAATGCGTCTCAAATGAAGCCTAGGCCAAAATAAATTATGTAAAGAGATGGATATCAAATATAATTTATTAAAAACTAATAAATTACTATGATAGAGTTTAGGGAAAAAATGTTCTCATGATAAAATATTTTGAGCAAAATTTTGATCAAGATGAATTATAATATTATTAAAGGGTTATTTTATTTAAAGTAAAATGGGTGTAGAGTATTTCAAAATGCAGGACTTTTGAAAATATTGGTGTTTGAGTTATCCTTCATTTGAAGCAACTTTTTAGCATAAAAATTCCTTGAAAATAAAAAAATTAAGTAGTTAAAAGTTATCCCAAATGAAGCTTAAAGTAAAAAACAAAAAAATTAAAAAAAAAAACACTTTAAAAAAAAATGTAGAGGAAAAGTTAAACTATTTGAAATTCAACTAGTTTGATTTTTGATGTATTTGAAAATTATAAATTTAGTTTTCAATATACTATAAATTATTTGCTATTGTTGCTCAGGTTGCCATCAGACTTTGCTGCCACTCCACCTATGGCAATCACCGTCACTCATATCATCACTAGCATCATTTTGTTTCATACTATATTCATTTTACTTCATATCAAATAAATATAATTATCTACGTTTATTTTAAATTTATTCCAATAACTTAAAAATATTTCAAAAAAATTTAATTTTTTTTTAATACTACATCCATTTTTACTCTCCTTTCCTTTTTCAACAAAGCAAGCCGCAACTAAATGTAATTTAAGAATAGTGCAATAAATAGATTACTAATATTATATTAATTTCAATTACATTCCCAAAAAATAAATTTTTTTAGTCCCATCATTTTGCTTTTTAATTATAATATTATGATACAATTTTTTTAAAAAGTTTAAACCGACGAGGAGAATAAAAGAGCTTCGAATCACTTAACAAAATTTTTGTACAATTTTTATAAAAAAATTTACAATTTGTCTACTTATATTTTAATCTCTTAAATAAATTTATTAAGATATAAATTCATAATTTAATTATGATCAATTTAAAATAATTTGAATTCACGAATGTTGCTTTCATCTCTAAATCAGCATTTAATATTTATATAATATACGATTCAATTAGCTAACAATACCGAAATTTTATAGCAACATTGCTGTGATATTAATGGCGATAATATTTTAGATTACAAAAAGAAATTTATGGTTCATTACCTATTCTTCTAATCTAACAATATTGGGGTACAATTAGCAATTTTTATTTTTATTTTATTCCATCCTGAAGTTTTCATTTTGATAGAGCAATTAAGTAAATTTAAATTTGCAAATTTGCAATGGAGTTTTATTTAGAAAAAAAAAAAACTTATCTCAAGCTAAGGGTGTAAACAAGTCGAGTCGAGCTCGAGTCATCACTTGCTTGAGCTTGTTTAAGTAATTGAAAATTATGAAAAAGAGAAAATGATTATAATTCAAATAAATATTATAATAAAATAGTAAAGATGAATAAAAAATAAAAATAATAAATAATAAATAATCCCTTAATATAAAATATTAGATTTTTTTTTTAACATTTTGTACAACTTTGCATCTGAATGCCAATATATTTTAAGTGCATTTCATATTAATATTTTTTAAACTAGCTATTTCTTGATTTAAAGAGTCAAGTTGGGATCGGCTCAAACTTAGCTCGTTAGCTCATGAAGCTTAGCTCAGGAATAATTTATCAAGTTGAGCTTGAGTTTGCTCATGAGTCAAAATTGTTGCTTCCTGGAATATTCGCAGTGGTAGAGAAATATAATACTCAGCATTCTAACTTTGTACAAAGATCCAACATAAAAAATAGATAAAAGAGTAGGGTACATCATGCATAAAAGACAACACAGTGTTTATGTGTAAACCCCCCAAAAGAGGGAAACACCAATGGGGCCTTGCCCAGTCGAATTGATTCGAGTAGTGTTGGTGGTTGATTATAAATAATGCCCTTCCCAAAGGAGGGCGCTGGCTCAATGTACATAGCACATTACATAGTTGGAGAACAATATGAAAGTTATTCTAATGAGAGTGTGGGCTTGCTTGTTAGGTCCTTAGCGCCGTAAAGCAATAGTCAAATGATGGTGGTCGGAGGGACCATAATTAGAAGTCTATAGTTATAGTGATTGTAGTCGGCAAGTGATATAGGTTGAAAAAATCATAGTTGGGTGATATAGGCTGGAGAGATCGTAGTCATCAAACAACGGTGATCGGGAGAAGATTCAGTGGTCATATAGTCCGTGAGGAATTCTGGAGGTAGTCAAAAAGCAGACAAAAATCCAATAGCGCTCGGAGGTCGGGAAGAACTCCTTCACTGGCACCGCAAGATGGTGAGTGCAAGAGAGCTCTCAATATTTATGTTTTTGGAGTAGCATCTTCAGTAATATGGAGAAAATCTAGGTCAAGTTTGGAGTATTCTATCGTACGACTTATAATGATTCCCATAATCATTAAGCATTTATCAAGCATTTAAATGCCTTAGTTATGTCAGAATTGAGTGATCATGGGCTTATTAGATTCATATCATCGAGCCACTCAATTCCACTATAAGCATGTCATATTTAAATATCATTTGATCATCCAATTAATACTTTAAAGCTTTAAAATAGGCTTTCGTCATTTGATTTGAGCTCATTTTGGGTTAGGATTGGACCAAATTTGGTATCGATGATTAAGATGTTCAATTTGCCTATAAGTTTGCCAAAATTATAGTTTGGGTGGTCTCTAATATAATTTGAAAGTTCTCAATTCAAATTTGCATCGAGATCTAACATATCATGCATGACTCGCTTACATGGGCGGATCCACCCATGGCTTAGGGTGGGCATTTGCCCACCCTAAAATATATATATATATATATATATATATATATATATATATATATATATTTAGAGGGGAGATTTTGAAACATTTTGCCCCTCCTAAAAAAATTTTTTTGTTCTACTTTTATCAATCCTAAGCATATTTGCCCATCCCTAACAAATTTTTTTTTTTTTTGCCCACCCTAAAAAAAGAAGTTGGATCCGCCCCTGCTCGCTTACACACTTAGGTTTTATTTGGGACAAATTCTTATTGATTTGCAAAATTGTTATTGAAAAAAAAAATTAAAATTGTTATAGAAAAAAAAACTTTTTAATATAAAATTTTTAGAAGTATAAAAAAAATAATGGTGAAACCAGCACAGAAGTAAGAAAATTGTCCAAAGAAGCCCACGCGGATAAAAAATGTACAGTGTTGAAACGGCCACGCCCGTCTTCTGCCCAAAAACAGATACTTACAACTTGATTAGTTGTTCACGGCAGCACTAAACCCTCCCTTTTTCCGTTAAACCAAACAGAAGAAACGGAAAATAATAAAAACTGTACAAAAATAAAATAAAGCCAGTAAAAAAAACAACTCATCTTTTTCCCCAAAATACCCCCGCCTTCGTTCCCCCTCAGCTCGTTCTTAAAAGAACCCCTTTCCGAGTTCCTTCTTTCCATTCTACTTCCTTATTTCCCACCGCTCGCCGGAAAGTACCGCCGGCTATCGATTTCCCACCGTCGGTGGAGACCATGATGTGCTAATTTTCCGATCTTCAGCGTGGAATTGAGGAGTCCCAAAGCAATCTTGCCATGGAGGTCCAGCGAATTCACCAGCTGATGCTTCTAACCCTTCGATCCCTAAGCTCCCGTGTTGCTCTCGTGGGTGGTAACCACACCGCTGCCCGATTCTGCACTCGCTAACGTCCTCCGCCGCCCCACCTTGCTCTTTCCCTTTCTATTTGTCTTGGTTTTTCTCTAGTGTGTTATTCCTAGCTCACAGGTGAACCAGTGATACGTGCTCCGACGTAGATCGGAAATATGAAGGCCTCGCCGCGCACGATCCGACGGCCTAACGACGGCCAGGCCGCGGCTGAGCTTCCCCGCGACGAGCTTGTGATCCCTCTTCCTGACCCTAGGCTCCTTCGCCTCATCGCCCGGTCAGTGCTTCTCGCCGTCGCTTTCCTTTCCCTCCCCTGGCTCCGATCTGCGCTTCTTTCCGATCCCGCTGCCCATGTCGCGGGCCAAGGCGGTAATTCGGCCAACGACGAGCTTTTCTACATGCCGAAGTTGCTGCAGGACATGAAAGCCTACGGACTCATGCAGCCCCAGGGTCGCACTTTGTTCCTTGGAAACCCTGGGTTCCACGCCTCCCTTCTCCGGCGCAGCGGCGTTTCCTGCCTGCCGGAACGCAAGATTCATCAGATCAGCGGCGCCCAGTCGCTGGATTTCGTCTTCCTCGTGGCCGGAGGGTTCAATGACGCCAATTTTCGCCTCATCGACCGCGCAATCAGGGTCGGCGGCGTTGCCGCGTTCCGGCTTGGAACCCATCCTGTTAAGCCCTTCAACTTACCGGCGAATTACAGGATGATTTACATCCAGAACATTGGTCGCACCATCATCGCCGTAAAAAAGCTTTACCACGACAATGCTGGCGGTGGGAAGCTCGGGAGGCGGCTCTTATCAGTCTCCGAAACAAAGGAAGATGCTCTTCAATCACTAGAGGACGCGCTTCTCGAGCCGCCGGTGGTGGAGAAGCACGGAAAAATTATTAGGTACTTGCCAGACCTGACTGGGGAATCTTTGGATAACTACCCAAGAAGGGTTTTTGTGGACATAGGCTCGCCGGGTAGAGTCGGGTCCGAAGGATGGTTCAGGAAGAAGTATCCGAGGAATCAGAAATTTGAGATCGTTAGGGTGGATTTAGTTGACTGGCCGGCGGCGACTGCGGTTGGAGGCGGAGATGTGGGGGAATGGCTGAGATGGAATGTGAGAAAGGAGGAGTACGTGGTGGTGAAAGCAGAGGCGGACGCGGTGGAGGAAATGGTAACAGGGGAGGTCCTTGAGCTCGTGGACGAGTTGTTTCTGGAATGCAGGAACGACTGGGAGAATGGAGAGGAGGCGGAGGACGACGAGGGGAAGTGGAGGATGAGAGCTTATTGGGAATGCTTGGCACTCTTTGGTAAGCTCAGGGAGAATGGAGTTGCAGTGCATCAATGGTGGGGCTAAAAAAACTTAATAAAAATTTTTAAATAAAGAAAAAACTCCATTTTTGTTCATCATGGAGCTTTTGTGCAGCAACGATAAGATGCTGTTAATTGTTTGTGTCTGATTATCCATCTTTGTTAGGTCAAAAAGATAGTGTTGGGGAATGCAGTGTTTATCATCTTTATGTGATAATTATTGTGATTTTGTTTTGGACTGGGGGAGGTGTCAATTCTCATGTTGCTTTGTGCCTCTTTAATCATTTGATGGACAATGATGATGACCCTACAATGCCATTAGAATGATTTCAAAAAAATTTATATTAAGTTAAAAATATGAAAAATGGAATCTTTTTTAATCCAACAATTTTTTGAACATAAGTTGGTAGTTCTTTTTTTAATCCTAAGCAACAATTTTTAATGAGGTTAACATTCTGATTAGTTAGACACCACTAGATTTAAGTAGGGGTGTCAATTTGGGTCAACCCGTCGGGTTCGGGTCGAACCCTTGACCCGGCAACCCGCCGGGTCAACCTGACCGACCCGTTTTATCAAACGGGTCGAATCTGCAAACCCGGACCCGACCTATTTATAAACGGGTCGGGTCCGATTCGGGTTGTCGTGTCGTGTCAAATATTGACACCCATAGATTTAAGGTTTGAGTTTTTCTTTCCTCTTATCTGTGCTACATTTTTTCTATCCTTTTTGCTCACCATTGATTTATTTTTAAATTCCAACTCTTCTTCTCTGTCCCTAGGTACGATGAGAGGAGAATATTTTGTGCGGGGTTCGGACATAGAGTTGTATCCCAACATGTTAGTGTACACAGCGTGTATATATTGTGTAAACACTGTATACAAAAATAAAGATACACAATGTATAGACAGTGTACGCTAAGAATTTGGACACAACTTTCCGTTCAGACTCAGCCATTAATAATTTCTCTGATGAGAGGGCATTAGGGGCGGAACTTGCATTAGGGCAAGTCAAACCCCCTCAGAAGACGCTGTCCCCTTTGACCCTCGATATACCTTAAAAGCATATGACGATCAAGGATATGAATAAATATGGGTCGCTATTGAAAATTAAGGCTAGTTTCGCCCCCGGAGGGCATGCCCCAGTTTTCACTTCGTACTTTGGTGATGAAATTTTTGCAACTTAAAGAACTTCATAGAGCTTTTGTGATTGGTGTCTTCTTCCATTCTAATTTCTCACCCATTTTCATGATATTTACTCTTATGAGATCTACTATAGATCTCCCTCAAGCATCATCAGTTACCTTCTTGATTTCTTCTATTACAGGACTCGACTTGGGCTGGCCCAATGATATTTACCCCTCTAGCTTCATTCCTCTCCTCTCTAAGCAATGTCCTGTTGTCAACAAGTTTGAGTTAGAATTTACAAGCCTAGCTTATAACTCTATTATCCTAAGCTCATTAGCCTATATGGTTACACCAGGGGTGTAATTGTGCTAAGCCAGCTCGTGTGTCGGGTTGGGTTAGGTTGGCTTAACAAATGGCCATAAGCTCAATAAGTTAGCAAGTTAAATTTGAGCCAACTCCAATTTAATTAATTTTCTTATCAGCTTACTCATTTAAAAAAAATATTGATGTGTTGAAACTTAAATTCCAAGTGTAAATTTATATCTGATTTTCTTATATCAATTAAATTTATATCATTTATCATTTTATTTTAACACTTCAATTAAAAATATTTATTATTTTTTCTTAATGAATTTTATATTAATTGTTAACTACCTAATGCAGCTCTTTATTTTTCTCATTCAAGACTTAAAACCCGATAATTATAATGTTTTAGGAATGCAACACGAGAGCTTTCTAGAAAGTCACCCATCATAATACTATTATTGCCCAAGCATGTTGAAAAGGATGGAGTAGCTCCAACAAAAGAGAAGATTAGAGAAAGTCGCGTAATATTGTTTGATCACAAAATCATCTGATTCGATTATAAGAGTAGATGCATTACATCTAACCTATGTTAAAAAGGATAAAGATGGACCTTAAAAGATTTGATTAGAAAGCAATTCGAATGAGTTTTTTATTATATTTAAATAAGAAATTGACTCTTAATAGAATATAATAGCGAAAAAAAAATTCATGCAGTAAATCCCACACATAATAGGATAACAGCTTGATGTTATTGCATATTTGAACACTTTCAATCTTTTAGAAATTTTGGTTGACATTTTATTTGATAAGCTATTTTATTGAACTCTTCTTGATACAAAATAAATGCATTTTTAATTCATATTACATATCACATGAATGCATATTTAATGATTTTGCAGCAATATAAATGTTTTCCATATAATTAGTAGTATTTCAGAAGAAAGCAGAACAAAAAGAATTTTGCTTCGTTTGAGATAATTTTTTTTTTTGCTTCTTCAATAAATTTTTTAGTATAAAATTTAAATTTTTATACTAAAAAGCTGCTCCAGTGAAAGATAAGATTAGAGAGAGTCGGCTTAGATAGTTTGGTCACATTAAACGGAGGCCTTACGATTATCTAGTTAGAAAAGTTGAGGTATTAGATTTGACTTTTAAAAAAGGTAGATGTAGAACTAAAAAAACTTGGTTAGAAAATATTAAAAAATAAATTTTTTTATTAGATTTAAATGAGAATTTGACTTTTAACCTGACACAATGGCGAAAAAAGATTTAATGTAGCCGACCCCACGTAGTGGGACAAAAGCTTGTTGTTGTTGTTGTATATAAAAAATCGTTTTAAGAAGCACTAAAAAAACCATCCCAATGCTTCGTTTAGTACTGTCTTAGACCACTATTTTTTTCCTGCTTTTAAAAATTTTCTATACTAAAAATCAGCTTTACAAAACAGTAAAAAAATCATCCCAAAGCCTTTGGATAAAACTCACTGGCACAACAGGAATGTTACCAGTCCAGTTTCTGCTTCAGGCGAACTGAACAATGTCAATTTTAAAGAGAAAACTCTCCATTTTATCAGTTGGCAAGGCAAAAGATGATGATGATGAATTCTGAAAGCAGAACACTTTGACGACCTTCAATAGTAAAATTTTATTTGCACTATTTTGCTATTATTGTTTTTTAATCAGTTAGGAACATTATTCTTTCATACAAAGGTTCAAAGATAATAAAGTTGAACTGTTTCTCCTTTCTTCGTTGATCTTCACTCATTTCCAGCCTGAGCATGAAAGCCTGCAGTAAGAAAAAGAAGGGAAGCTTACCCTTAATATATTCCATCATTTCCTTACAGTACAGAGAAATCTTTACCAACCAAACTAATAGCTAAACGTTCAAGGATCATTGACTACTTAGCAATCATGGTCGTTGCAGATACTCCATTAAAAAAGCTCTAAAAAATTTCCTATCAGCACCTTGCCAAGTGTAAATATGAAAGCAAAAGCAGATATGCCATTCTTCTGAAAATATTTGATTGAAAATTATTTCAAATAATCTATCATTTGTTCTTATTAAGGGGTTGTTTGGTAGCATCCATGATCAATCCTCTATATCCGAATTTTTAAAATCCTTAAGGGCTTAAATCATGAAAACTGCTCGGTAACATTCATAATAAATCATCTTAAATCTCATATAACTGTTTGGCTATAGAGCAGGACTTACCTACCGGACTCTGCCTCTAACACCATGGATTTAGTAAATCCGGCAAAATAAAAGATTTCGGAAATCTGGGATTTAGAGCAAATCGGCGGAATTTTCCTTCTACAGTGGATTTTGTTTGCCGTGAGATTTGGTTTTGCATTTTAGGCCGTTTGGCTGGATTTCGCTCAAATCCGCCTCAAATCCGGCCTAAATCCTGCTACCAAACAGCCCCTAAGTGTTTTATGAGATGTTAAAACTATCAACATAATGCCCTTACCCTAATTTGAGACATGTATCCGAGGTATCGTCGTTCTCGTACGGGTTCCCGCAATGAGTTACATTAGTTACAGATTCAGAGGACTGACCATCTTCATGGAAAGCATTTTCTGGATCAACAACCACTTGTTTCCCCATCTTCGACATTTCTGCAACCTGCATAACTCTACTAGTTAGAACAATGAATTGCTAACGTTGAGTAAGGAGCTAGAGAGGCAATAGACCTGATAACGCAACCGAGTATTTTCTTCCATCAGTTGAACTCCCTGAATTTCCAACAAATGGAAAAAGAAATTTCAGAGATAGTTCTTCGTGTTCTGCAAGATAGTATATATTTTGTTTTGCAAAGTATTAACTACTTGCAACTCTGTTAACGGTTATCTTGTAAAATTCAAAAAGAGCAATGTCTTATAACTTGGTGAAGATCATTTGTAGCTTAGCTCAAGAGGAAATGTCTTATTTGCTGAGCGAAATTAGCTCCTCAGAGCTAAATCAAAATTTCATAAGTCCTAACAATCCACATAGTTCCTGTTAATTTTCGTGGAAGTTATCAACATAAAGCAGTTTATAACCTTTTTACGGAGATGATTGATCTGCTCCAGAATTTGTTCACCCTGTAAACAAGTCAATACGTTTAAGGTTACAGATGCACCCAAATGAAAGATAATTGTATTAGTGCTGTAAGAAAATAATGAAATAAGGATGCTTCATCTACCCAACAACATCTCCTAAACATTTATCAATGTGGCATAATTTAGGTATATGGTGCACAGTAAGGAGCTGTTTGGAATCACTTTTATTCTCTTATTTCAAAGCTTTTTTTTTTTATGTTATAAAATGAAATAAAAGCATGTTTGAGATCTTATGCATTCATTATTTTTTAAAAATAAAATTAAAGTGATCCATGAGTATATACAGGTCTGTTCACTTGGTGCAAAGATTTCAAATCTACTAAAGAAGCCGGTAATCATCGGCGACTGTGACCCAATCATTGGAGTTGATGCGGTTCGTTATCCACCTCAGAGCTCTCTCAATAACACAAGACATGTCTCATGGAAGTTGCAGATGGTGAAGGGCATGTGATTTTCATGGTTTTTGAGGTTCTCCAAGGTCAGATGCACGCCAAATCAAAGATTTACAAGGAATGTAGATTGGAAGGTCGGCCAACAAGATCTTACTCAAAGAAAGATTTTCTAATGATGTTCAACTCATCCAACCCTAAGGTGAAAATTTGTAGTCTCCTAAATGCCATCATGTACTTGATCATGTTAAATTGACTGAATTGAAGTGTTGTGTGGTGGTCCGGTTTTGCAAAACACCACAACGGTGTGAATTTCGCAGACACAGCTAGCTAGGTTCCTACCGGAAAGTGCAAGAGACGGATCCAAGCGGTGTAGATACTCTTTGCAAACTAGAGTGTGAGAGCATTGCCAGATCACAAGTTAGTTCGTGTGAACAAAGGTGGGGTAGCGATTTTGCAGCCTAGGTGCAGTTCGTGCAGTCGAATTCTAGCTGCAGACTGAAAATATCTTTTTTGAGGTGGGGCTTTCAAGTCAATGGTTTTGTTGTGTCGGAACAGTAAATCAAGAACCTCAGGGCAGCAGGTTGGTCGCGGACTCGGGTGTCCGGGGAAGACTGGTGAACCGAAGGATGCTCGATGCTGGAGAGTGGCCGTGCCGTGCAGAAGAAAATGCGTGGGCCAGAAGCACGCATGAGCGAGCAACGCATAACTGGAGTGCAAATCATGGGAGGAGCAACACACAGGTGTGTGTGCGCTTTAGAACGTGTGGGAGTGCGAGCTGGAGCTATGGATCTGAACGCGCAACGGAGAGGTTGGACGTGAGCGGGATTGTGATCGATTCGATGAGTTTACTCATGGAGTTAGTGCAAAAAGCCAGTCAGATCGCAGCAAGCACATATGTTGTTCTTTGACCGTAAAATTAGACCAAGGTGGAGATTATTGTGTAGTGGACCGTTTTAGTTAGGATGTTCTGCAAGACACCACATCGGTGTGAATTTTCTATAAATAGAGGTTGTAGGATGATGTATAATGGGCTCTCGTTCAAGATGAATTGAAAAAAAAGCTCCTTTTCCATTCTTATCTCTCTCTCTCCCACTCCTCCCTCTTCCTCTCTCTTTTGAAAGAAGCTCATGAAGAGCTCAAGAGTTCCTCCCCGAGGGTTTATTTTAAAAGGAGCATGTTAAGCCCCACAATTAGCAAGAGCAGTATGCTTAATATAAAATTTAAAAAAAAAAAACAAATTCGTCAAATAAAATAGCGCATTTAGAATGCGACAAAAGAAATAGTTCATTTTGAATGCACTATTTTGATTGGCGCATTCAACTCAAACGAAGAGTGGTGATGTCCTGGTGGAAGAGAGAAATGAGGAAAAGAGAGGGAGAGGAAGAGAGGGGGGAGAGATTTTTTTTTAGTTTTTTTGTTTTTTAATAAGTCTAAGGAGAAAATTTAAATAAAATTTTATAAAATAAAAATAGAATACTTATAAATATATAATAAAAATCAAATTAAATTTATTTAAATTTTTCTTTAGGATTTAAATTAAATTTCAAATTAAAATTAAAATTAAATATCAAAATTAATATTACTATTTATTTGCATTTTTGTAGGCAATGATCAATACATAACAAAAATCAAAATTAAATTTTATTTAAGTTTCTTTATAGAGTTATAAAAATAAAAAATCCGACAACAAAATATCTATAAAAAATTAAATCAGCCACCTAAAACACATAATAAATATCAAAATAATGATTTTTAATTCTTTTTCTTTAAATTTAAAATTTAATTTAATTTAAATCCGAAAAAAAAAATTAATTTAGATTTTTGTTATGTATTGATAATTGCCCACTAAAATACAAAAAAATTATAAAT